TGAGCCAGATTAATCTACTCCACGCCTCCATTTTAATAATATCCTCCCGTGCATGTGTGGGCCTTCAGCATTTCCGATTACGAGCTTGGCGTACAAGAGGTCGCCTTGAGCCCCTTGGATCGCCGTCAGTCCGTCCGCTTGTGCGCGTGTCAGGTCTCGAGAACGTCGAACATTCGAGCCATTAGTTGGACTCCAGTTTGGCTCGACATTCGACAGTTTTCTTGCCATTTATTTACCCATGGCGACGCGTTTGTTTATCGAATGTACTGGTTGCCGTGGCAACATTCTGTGTAAAGAGAACGCGTCTCGTTAGGGCTGGGAACTGAACTTTCCGGTTTTCGTAACATGAGACCAGCGTTCTGATCTCTAATGGCGATGCGTTCTGTTCACTTTGATGTAAGAACTGAATTGTCTGGTTGTCATTGCGTCAGACCAACGGCTGTTCGTGAGAGGGAATCCTTACTCGGCCGCCGCCCCTGAATATTTGAAGTTACGCCACGTTTTCGAAGGAGTTGGTTCTTCATGGGGGTCTCTTAGCTGTGTGCAGATCGTCGTTGCAGTGTCTTTGAGTGCGAGCCGAGATGGACTGGATTTATATGGCGCAGGGTAGGGTTATTGTCGGGTTGTTATGAACACTGTAATTGGGTTCGGATTCCATAAACGGTGGTCATTTCTTGACCAGCCTCTGGAGGAGGGGCGCACTCCCACTGCCGCGGAGACCGTCGTTGAGCGCAGTTCGAGTGTGCCGCCATTAGCATCGCCACGCGTGTTTGAGCAGCCGCGAGGCGGCGTGCGAGGCGAAGCCAGTTGGCCTTGGACCAGCAGCAGCAGCGGAGGAGTGCGGTAGGAAGGAAGTTGCGTGGTGCCTCGCCGAAGAAGCTCAGTCAGTGGCCGCCGTGACGATGGTGCGTGACTGGCGTTCAGTGCGTCTTTGATTTGCGACATTGCAGCTTCGCTGATACCGGATGTTTGAACGCGGTCTTCCACGCGATGTGAATAATAGTTGTGATTCGCTTGGTAATCCTGTTGTTGGGGATGTACGTGGTGTCCAGTTTATTCGGTGGCCAACTTACAGCAGCTGCCGTCAAAGCCTGGAATCGCAAAGTGAACAAGAGTTCTGTCTCTAGGCGTCTGGAGCCTGAGATGCCCCTCGCAGCCACGGTCAAAAGTCAGATGCTTCGTCTTCTACGTCGGAGCAAGAGTTCTCGGGTGCCGCAGACACAGAGCGACAGGAAGAGGGGGAAGTGCGGCGAGGAGTACGCGATGGTTGTGTCCAACAAACGGTTCTCGGCTCACGTAGATTCTTCGCCGTCGTCCAACAAAGCAGTGGCTTACAAACACGCGGAGACCAGAAAGCTAAGGGAAGGCCGCTCTTCGTTGCAGGCCCGAAGGCGCACCAGGTCACAGGTGAGGATGATGACCCTTCCGCCAGCATCAATTTTAATATCGTCTTCCGTGTGCTCACTTACCGCCCGAACCAAAGTTTAGTTGCCCTGTTTAACGCGTCTTTGCGGTGGGCAGTTGTTAAGTCCACGAAATACCCAGGTTAGAGGATCCCCCTTGTCGGCTGTCCACGACTGCTGTTGGGCGGACAACCACACCCGGCGCATGTTCTGAGGAATATTTTCCTGGAATAATGGCGTTTTAAACGTACCTGGGACACGGACACGTGTACCAGCCGTGAGAATATTCGTGACTAGTAATTTTGTTACGAACTGTACCACACTTTGTTCGCTCTTTTAACTCGAGGTTAAATTGCAACGTTTCATGAAGTCAGGATTACAGTTGATAAGTTTCGACTACAAATATCCGCTGACCCGTGACAGATTTTTTTCTTGTGAGCGAAGTTCGTCAACATTTTGCAGTGCGCACATTAAAAAAATGTGGTATTTCTTTTTTTTTCTTGTTTGCCGATGACTATTTATTTAATCGCTCGCTTGTCTCGTCCAAAGTTGACTGCGCGTGTTTGCGAGCTGGAACAAATGTATCACCGCGAATCTTACGAGAGTTTGTCAACTCTCAGAGTAGGGTACGCGCTGTTTGACGATGAACTCGTCCTTGAACTTTGACTGCTGAAAGAGACAACCCACGCGGGGGCCCTTACCTAGTCAACAGCCTTGTTGAAATTATTCTTAAGAGTTGTGCGGCTTTTCGATTACTCTTGTGTCGTGCATTTAGCGTTCCGTTCAGTGGCGTTCGCCATTTGGTGTGGACGTCATTGAACGTGAAACAAGGAGACGGTTTCCTTCCGAATCCGCCGCCCTCACGGTCGAAGATAACTATGACTGATCGACGCTGAATGGTACACGTCAGCTTCTGATCCTCGTTGATGCAACGCAGATTGAAGGACTAAATTGAATTTAATGAAGGACGTGTTGAGCAGGGCATGCAACCCACGAGGGGATTTGGGAAATTCGAAGCGTTCTGGTTGGACAGCCTGAGGGGAAGAAACCTGGTTGCGGGTGCGAGGATAATATTAAGAGGGTGGGCGGCTTTCGTCTGATACGGCATATATACCGACCAGCGGAGGTCTACGGGCTCTGCGGTCGGCGGTCACAGTGGGGAATGCGCCACTTGTTCGCTTGGCGCTGCGGCGTCGTCAGACTTTCCTTACAAGGGCTCTGTTGCGTCGGATCTGTCATCAGGGCGTGTGTCTGCGCATATTTATTATAGGCGTTGACGTCATAAAACAATGGTGTACGCAAACTTGCGTCATGTTTCCTGCCGCGCTGGTGGCCCCGCGGTATAGAATACGGAAGCAGCCGGTGACGATGTTTTAAGAAGAGAATTTGCTCGTCTGAATATTATTTATGAATTCAGTCCGTACCACAAAGAAAACACGACGCAGAGATCAGCTGTCTGGCTGATGTTGTTTAAGGAAATAATCGCGCGTCTCCACGTTATTTCCTTGTTAAAGTGGTTTGGTGTCGTGGGTAAATCGACGATTTTCCGGGAGGAATTTCCATCTGAAACGAACGTGACTCGTAATCCGACATGTATGGGAAAAAAGGGTTGAAAAGTTAAAAAAAACATTTCCTTTGTTTAATTGTGTAATGGAAATTACTTTAATGGATTTAGAGCAAAGAAAACCACACCCGCTAATTTCCCGAGAACATTTTATTGACGTGTGATGAGATCCTCGTTGGAGGACATTTGAAGAGATTCGTCAGATTTCCGTGATTTTATGATGTCACTAGACTGGTGCATGCACGTGCTCATCATACCGTCACTTTTAATTAGTGCACCTGCGTGGAATTTCTGGGAAGTGTTGAGTTGTCTCCTTTTTGGAAACGATTGAATCAGCGTTTCATGAAACTTTTCCGAAAAGTATGAGTTGTCTCGAAGGCTTTGTTTACTTCAGAATATGGTTCACAGATTAGGAAAGTTTTCCCCATGCGACATTTTCTGTGTCCGTTCATCGTCTGAGAGGAGGCCACAGGACGAGTAGTCTTCAGAATACGAAGTTTGGTGATGCATGTTCCTCAGGAGCGTCGGCGAATGTTGCAAACGCTGATCAGTGCACACCACATCCGTTCCAGTGGTCGTAGCTTGTTCACCCCTTGCACCAGAACGGAATCCGATTTAGGTGTCCCGTTCAGCTGATGTTGCAGTGCGTCCCAGCGTACCTGAGTGAATCATGGAACCCGTGGTTCAACACAGACAACACCAAAGCCCACGATCACGAGCCAACTCCTCCCGAAGATCCGTCCTTGATATGCGGAGGAATTATTTAAATGCCAGCTGGCAGTAATTTTCAAGGTCGACGGGATGCAACGTTGTACCAGCACGAGGTTCACGGCAAGTGGCTTTTGGTTGCCTCCAGCGGGCGTTCCGACACTCGTGGGGTCTGAGCGCGCGCGGTGGCGCGGGCCGCGTCTACATTTCGGGCTCTCACGGGGGACATTCCTTTTTGCAGCGTCGGAAATCGGTTCATTCAAGGTCATCTTGTGTTGTTGACGCGATGGTCCTCCTAGGTTCAGGCAATCCGCGAGGTTATTGTTTTCCTCCGTGAACCTCTTGAGATGCGTTGACGCTGTTTTAAGGGCAGAATCTGGACCTGGTATTTATTTTTAATTATAGGATACGCAAAATGCGATGCGTTCGCAATTGAATCAGTAGTTTTAAGTGCAGTCAGAGGCGTTTGTTGCGGGCCCTGGGTGTGATTGAGACGTTATCTCGTCGTTGTCTTATCTAACCGACTTGGAGTGCTGTTAGCAGTCGTTTTACTTGAGGACAGCGATAAGAGGCAGTGTGGCCGAGGCAATCTCGAACCGTCACGAGTTTCGTGTTCTGCCGTGAAATCTTGGGAGGTTCCTCTGCTGCGCGGCCGTCGCACACAGCAGCGACGGAAAGTGTCGCCAGCACAGAATGCGAACTGAAATTATCCGCTTTTGTCCGCGTTTTTGAAGTGCTGTGAAGTGGTGCTTGACGTTTGTGGTGTGCTGTTTGTGGGTGTGTGTGAACTTTGTCCGACATTCTGTGCTTGGGCGTACGATTGTCCGGCGTCCGCCGTGTCTGATCTCTAGGGCTTTGTAGACGCCTTCCCGAGTGTTTTTCTGTCTATTTAGTTGAAATGACTATTCTCGTTGTGCTGCAGACATCTTAAGAGGCAGCGCCCAAGGCAGTCGTTCGTCGCTGACCGTGTCTCGTCGTGGGAGGAGAGCTTTCCACAAACGAAGATTTTCTGTGCGTGAGAAAGCGCTTCTTGTGAGACGGTTCCACTTTCTTGGTCGGCGCCTATTTCGGCGAAGCGTAGGCACTCAGTGTCGCCTTTTAGTGTTCGTGGTCGTTGGTGCACACGCGCTCTTGAGCACCGAGAGGCAGCTGGAAAATGTCCTCTCAAGGAAGAAAAAAAAAAGTGGAAGTACATTTCGGCAGGCACAGGTGGAACAAATGAGCGCAACACAGCGCAGGCGGTGAAATTGACTGATATCACCAATGAAGGGGTGAAGAAGGCCGTGACTCCTCAGCTGCCCGCACCGAAGCGCAGGTTCCAGCAGGAAGACGACTGTGACGTAGGAGTTCGGCCGATTCGACCTCTGATTCCGTCACGACGTTCGGAATACGATCGTGCAGGCCCCGCGCACAAACTCGTGCGCAAGGATGAGTTCGTGGACATCGGCACGTGGAACAAGCTGCTACACCCCAAGCAGAGGTACACGAAACGCTGCAGACCGTCCGAAAACAGCTTCGAGGCTTCCGTAGGGAACGCGGATTTCGTGAACCAGGACGACCTTCATCAAGTATTGGTGGAAGACGTGGGTCGCCTTCACATCACCGAAGATCGCCCGGTTCGTTCAGAGCCGGTGGACGAACACGTTGGCAACGCCGATCTCTTGATGAAGAGGCGGGCGAATTATGACATGATCAAGAGAATAGGAAGGCAGTTGGAGGAAATCGAGCAGGGGCGGCTCGCCAAATTGCACCTGGATCCAGCCGACGAGGACCCGATGTTCGCGGCCGTGATTCCTCGCCCCGACGCCGCGAACAGCGGAGACACGGCGTTCCACCGTGGCGAGCCTGTTCGGAGCAGCGCCGGCGGCACGGCTGTCAAAACCCGGCCTCGAACCGGTTCTGATAACGCGGGACATTTGTCGCCTGATGACGTAACAATGCCGAGTCGCCGTGGGTTCGGGAGAACTCCGGTGAGACGCCATTCCAAATCACCGACGGCTTCCCCGGTGCCCGGACGTGCTCCGCCTTTAAACAACGTTTTGAAGACCAGATACGGCAAGAACGCGTCTGTGGAGGTATGATTTTCATTTCACTCGTTTTAAGTGGCCGTATTTTCGCGTAGACATGAGATCGCCTTGAGTTTCATCCTATGGTTCGTGTCGTCAACGTCGAGGTTATTTATTGGTGACTGACGCAAAGAACTTGCCACGTGTGTCGTTGCTCCGTCAGCGAACAGAGGCGAGTTGCGGAGTCCCCTCATCTCGTACGACAAAGTACTTCTCGGGGGACTCCGTTTATTTCTGAGAAATTAGTTACTCTGCAAGTTACGCTTAATTTGGGGCACTTAAATATGACGAGGTGAAAATATGCGCCATCTTGTCGAGGCGACATTTATCGATATTCGGCTTTGCGTTCGGTGTCGATTGGTGGTGATGACGTCAGTGCTGAAATTTTGAGGTTATGTGGCAAAATTTTCGCGCACAGAAATTGGCTCTGTAGTTATTTTAAGGCTCTTCATTTGAATGAAAGTTTTCTAACAAATTCTCTTTTGATTCTACTCGCATCTGAAATAATAACGCAGACCGGCACCGGTAAGATTTTAGTGTTGTGGTCTGCATGAGGGCAGTCGCATTAGAAGGAGAAGCAGTGTCCAGTTGCCAGACATCTTTTCCTGCCCGAATTCATTTCACGTGGGAACTTTGTGTCCTTAACCTAGAGAGGCAGAACTGCTTTCAACGCCCAGGTGTTCCCAGGAGAGTGGAAGAACAACAGCTGTGATGATTGTGAACAGGAAGGAGTACGTCGGACTTAACGGCTTTATTTGATATCCCAGGGACCTCGTGTTGCATTGCGCTCAGGGAAAACTTCTGTCAGCTTACGCGTTAATTTAAGTTGTTGGCGTTAAATTTCGATTTTAATCTTCGAACTTTGCCAAGTTGGTTTCTTGAGAAGTTGCAGGGGGGGCAGAAAACATTGCGTAAAAACACGAAGCGAGATTTTGAATTTGGTTTAGAATACGCCATTAGGAATGTCCAAGAAAGTTAATAGTGAGTGGGACCTACAGAGGCTGTGCTAAATGCTTACAAGACCGTGATTTTGCATCATTTGGATGACAAAATGGGCGATGAGGTTGGAGGGCTATGTACTGCGTTAGTTGGCAAGCCTGACGTGATGATAATATTAAAGCGGAACTTACGGAGTGTGGCCCAGAACAGGTGGCGTTGACCAGAAGGACAAACGCCTTCCTGTCGATGGACCATCTTCATTCGCGTTCTCGCGCGATTGGAGACGCAGATTTCTTTACTCGCCCTCGGTGATCGTGGATCGATAAGCGTTTCCCGTTTCCGGAGTTACGACTGTCTTTTATTTTTCCTGGCTCTCGTAATCCGCGATGGTACTTGTCCGACGCGAAATGTCAAACGCATTTGTGTGTTGGGTCGAAGGTTTAAAGAAAATATTATCAGGAAGGAGAAGGCGACTTCTGAAGAAATTGTTAAAGCCGATGGATGAATTGCCTTAAATTAAGACCACTACAGTCGTTCAGAATTACTCCTCGTTCTTGAATGCGAATAAATTAAGGAATAAAATGAAATTTTGCTGTCTCCAAAGTTGCTCGAAGGTCACCTCGGAAACGATTGCAGATCGCCCGCTTTGTAGGCAACTGGAGGACTGTCGACGTCTAATATTGAGGCCAGACAGTCAGCTCGCACGGCTGGTGATCACACCTAACGTCGAAATTGAAATAAAGACGACTGCTTTACGCGTGATGGGGCCTGGCGGGGCCATTTATTTCTGAGGAGGTGGTTGCCAGGGCAATGCGAGGTTCGGGATCGCCGTTGTGCTTGTGTTGTGACGTACGCGAACTTGTTTTCCGTGCAGCCAGTCGTAAGAAATCAGGTAAGTCGTTGTTTGTCTGCCGAGATAAGATAAAAAGTCCGTTGAATTATGGATGCTCTGCCTCGCGCGTGTGTTTGCTGGCTGCAGAAAGACGTTTCGGGAGGGCGGTGAGGACGAGCGCGCAAAGTTTTACCAAAACGGGGCCTCCCATGCGTGTTCATGGCTGGTTCAAGTCCAGGTCTTATCATCGCCGCGGCACAGAATCTCCTCTAGACTTTTATCTACGGCGCAGGCACCAAACAGAAATATGGTCCGGAGGAAACTGCATCTGAAATGTGGGTAGGGAGACAACAGATTGCGGTTGAGATAACAAGGAAATTGAGAGCAAATTAAGGTCGGAATACTTGCAGTTCAGAATTCGAAAATGACCGTCGGTATGTACCCGCAACGAGCAGGTGTTTCAGCCCGGAAGTGCAACCTCGATTTAACTTTTCGTACTGATTTGCTTATTACCTTCGTTTCCGCTGCTCTCAAGAGCGGTCAAACGACTGCAAAGGTCGAAAAACTTTTCGCTGAGCGATTCGGAGGACGACGACGTAGTCGAAACATGCATCTGAGTGTTTTGAAATGTGAAGTCATCACAGAGGCGTGTGACGCTTAATCAAGCGTTCGATTTCAGTGCCAGTCCTTGGTTCGAGTCGACCTAATAAGTTAATTATGGATGAGCAACCGCGTTATTCGAGCCTAGCCTTTGGTAGGAGCGCGGTTTGTTCGTGCGCGTTTCTCCCGCCACGCACCGAGCGGCGCGTCTGCATAATTCATGTAGTGGACCCAGTCCGTGCGGATCAGCTGTTTCCGGCTCCGTCACACGCGGAAACTGGTTCTCCGTT